TGTGTTTGCTTCATTTTTCAGCCTCAGTGTCACTTAGTGCAAACAAGTGTTGAATGGTGTTTATTTGCTAACCATTGCATTTGCCTTCTGTGCAGGTTACTGGGAGGAGGAACACTCCTACAGCAGGAGGAGCTGGCAGCGCTACCAGAGGGAAGTGATGCATGAGCTGGGCTGCCGTGGTGACGACGACGACAACGGCGATGATGACGATGGAGACAAATATGATTCCGATTGATCTGCTCTTCACCCCACTTGTAGTGGATCTTTCCAGTTACCTTTCCACAAGTAACCCCTTACTCTGTGCAACATCTGTGTAGCAGAGACTGAAAAGGTTATAAGGAAAGAAATCACTTTTCACAGTGTAGCAGTTTATGTGTAGCACTCAACAAATGGGCAACCTTTCTGGAAAACACCGGGAAACAATACCTTGGTTAAAAACGTGCCAAAAGTATTTTGTCACAGTTATGAAGTTCAGTGGCCACTAACTGATCAGATCATTTTCCTACACAGATGGTGATGGAGTAGGTGAGTTATTTGCAGAAGGGTCCCAGGGTCCCGTGTGTCCTTTTTGGTTTTTTTTAAACTGTGGTGGAGTGAATTCATGTGTGGATGTTTGTTCAAAGTGGATGTGTGTTAGAAAATGTTGCACATTAGTGTGGTATGCCTCGTATGCTTTGTGCTCTTATCCTTCTGTTAGTGAGACGTCTCGGGCCGCGCGTGGTTGCAGTTTAGGGTGTTTGCATTTTGTGCATGGTAGTGCGTGAACGTATAACTGTTAGATTTTTTTTTTTTGCATAATGTGAAAGCGTGGTGCATCAATTCTGTTGTGGGTGTGCGAGTTGGGTTCAGAAAATCTCCTCTGGAGTTTAAATTGTTTCTCTTGGATGCTTGTTCTGTTAAGGTTTTTGTAAATATGTAGATGTGTATAAAAGAAAAGCTTTCAAAATAAACATGAAACATCTCAGTGTCAGTTTGTCCTGCATTCTAAAGAAGAGGTTAAAATGTATTACTATGCCATATCATTGGTTTGTAAAACATGTATAAATATCTTATTACTTTATAAACATAGTTTGAGTTCAAAGGCTTAGATGGATTAATGTCAGGTTCTTTCTTTATTTTATTTGTTTTTTCAATCTGGTTAAGTGACCATGGTAACTTCTGCTCAACCTATAGCCAGTTAAGAGCAGAGACCTGTACTGTGAAGCAGGATTTGGGCTAATCCAGGGCCCCGTACAATAAAGGAGGTTCTGACTATCTAGGGTATCATTCCACTATCACTTGCTAATATTGGCAATTGGGACACACAGACCACTTAAAGTGGTTATCAACACTTAAAGTTATTCCAGGGTTTCCCCTGGATGTTCACATGAAAGGAGCGCTGTTAACAGAATTTAAGCAATTTATAAGTTGCAGGATCATGACTCTTCCACAGAAACTGATCCCCAAAAGTGCCACCTACTTCAGAAACACAATGTGCCTGTGAAATGCAACACACAATTAATAGTGCAGAAACTGGTTAATCTGGTGATTTAGCGCATAAAATAAACATTTTAATTTAATTGGCTGCGTCCCTGTCAGTGCTGCTGTTTATTTCTAAGGTGACGGCTGCACATTACAGCTCAGAATTCCAATATATAAGCTTAGTTTACATACTCAATGTGTGGTCACCAAGTATCTTCCATAGATGTCCTGTTTTAAGATCAGATTTTAATGCTATGGAACAATAATTGTTTCCTGCCAACAGGGGAAAAAAAATCAAGGAATGAATGTGTCTAATAATCTTTATTTATTACTAACACTCATTATGGAAAGGAAAAGACATTAGAAACGGCAGAAAAATTGAACACTCTGCTACTCCCCCCACAGAGCTCTTGGTCCAGAGCTGGTTAGTTTCCAGAGTAGAGATCAACAGATCATTCTGCTGATGTGGGTAAACTCCTTCTATTGGTAGTCCTTTTCAGTATGGTGTCAAAATACACCAGATGATGTATTGTTTTAATCAAAAATATGAGCACAGATGTCTGTGAGCCTTAGGGTGGTAACTCTGTTACCCATCTAGACTTTAGAGCAGCGGTCTCCAACTCCAGGCCTCGAGGGCCGGTGTCCTACAGTTTTTAGATGTGTCCTTGATCCAACACAGCTGATTTAAATGGCTAAATTACCTCCTCAACATGTCTTGCAGTTCTCCAGAGGCCTGTAATGAACTAATTTGATTCAGGTGTGTAGTCCCAGGGTGAGCTCTAAAGCCTGCAGGATACCAGCCCTCGAGGCCTGGAGTTGGAGACCCACGGAATACAGGAAGAAAATGTAAATTTGAGGGTTTTTTTTTATATACAGCAATTACAGAAGCTTGAATTTCATCAGGATACTTTTCATTTCTCACATAAGAAAAATAGTGAGCATCACCAGCGTGGTACAGTTCCAATTGTAACAGTTATTATGTAAATATATCAATTGCATATACATAGGAAATTGATATCATAGATTGTGATACAGTTTACTTTTTGTTGTACAGTAAACCTGTCAGCTGGTCCAGCTGAGGTGTACAGGGACCAGTATCCCCGCCCCCTGCTGCTAGGTAACGTCCTCCAGCCAAACACAGCTGCAGGGTCAGGTAGCAGCCAAGGTCCTGGCCAGAGGCCAGTGAAAAGTCAAACCCTTTGGCTTTGACTCATCACAATTGTTGGGCAATCGTGGCTCAAGAGTTGGGCGTTCGTCTTGTAATTGGAAGGTTGCCGGTTCGAGCCCCGGCTCAGTCTACTGGTGGTGGTCAGAGGGCCCAGTGGCGCCAGTGTCCGGCAGCCTCGCCTCTGTCAGTGCGCCCCAGGGCAGCTGTGGCTACAATGTAGCTTGCCATCAGCAGTGTGTGAATGGGTGGATGACTGAATGTGTAGAGAGCTTTGGGGTCCTTAGGGACTAGTAAAGTGCTATACAAATACAGGCCATTTACCATTTTACAATCGGTCATCACACATTAATCTTACCGTAATTATTAAATCTTACACAGCAAGTGGCACAATCTTATAATATACCTTATAACAACATTGGTTACATACTTAACATGGTGATTCTCATATATAAAAACATTCAGTGTAGGTTCATGGTGAGTGTGTGTGTGTGTGTGTGTG